AAAGAAATCAAACGATCACCTGCCACAAGCTTATGTAGTACTTATTTATTAAAAAAAACACCTTGAAGAATATTTACGTACGTATAGTGGGCTAATATAATGCTGCACTATGATAGACACAGGTGGTATATGCGGCACGTGACTTACTAAGTAATGGTATCTGAATTGAGTGGCTCCCAAAATAGGATTTTGTATCTCATTCGAATAATAAAAATATATATAACGATAATTAATGATATATAAAGGACCAAAAAGAAATCAGAATAAACTTTGAAGCAATGACCCTCACAAAAAAAATTATTAAAATAAAACCGACAAACCAAGTTGTGGAAGTTGTCAAATATCTAGCTTACGATGCGCTTTACGAACCAGATGATGTAATCTTAATAACAGTTACTTGTATGTCGAAGGCTAGACCTGAAGTTGCGTCTATATTAAGCATCATTAGCATCATTCAATACTCTTGCGCTATCGTTTTATCCGGTCACATGCATGATGTCATTTTCGACTTGTCACTAGTCATAATTCCGTTTACCTGGCTGAACAAATCTATCAGAGATGTTCTTTACGCTAATCAAATTAGTTCGATAGCACTCGAACTGGTCAGCAGAGAATGCCGATTAACCGCATTCAGAAGAAATGAACATAATCGTCGAGATGACTGGTATGATCAAATAAAAAATTGGCGAAAGTACCGATTTCACCTTATATTGAATGAATTGGTTGAAAATGTATCTGCACACGCAGAATTGGAACAAGGAAGGTTTTGCTTTACAACCGGCTCGTTGTTTGCTAATAAAAAGGTATATGTCCCAAATATTATTTCTATTTTTTCATTATTCGTGCCCACAGAATTTAAGTTTTTTAACTTTGAGCGAAGATATCTCGATGACTACCTAATTAAGTTCAATGAAATTTTTTTCTTTTTTTTATTCCACATATTTGTAGAATCGAAATAAAAAAGTATTCATTGAATTTAGTTAGTTAAATAGTTACTTAGATATCTTCGATCAAGGTTAGAAAAAAAATTATGTGTGTGTACGAATAACAAATTGGAGGTAAAATAACAGCCGCCTTTTTTATTTTATTATTTGAATTAATAATTGTTAATAATTATTTACATGCATTATAGTTTTATTATTGCATAGAGAATAGTGGTGTTGGTCTTCGAGGCTCCCCTCCTGAAGCAATTGCTTCGGAAGCCAAAGATGCGGTAGTACGTGCATACGCTTCGCACTTAACACGTGCACAATTCACTTCCAAGAGCGTAAGCAGAGATCGTCAAAGTATCGGTCTTTTCATTACTAGTGAATTGACACAGACGAACAAAAGTTATCTTGAAATTCTTTCTGGCGCTCAAGAATGTGGTATGTATGACTTGATTTAATTATATATAAACTTATGTATATTATACAGTATATATATTATATAATACAGTTGAACCTCCCTAAACCGATATGCATAGTGGGCAGGTTTCGTATTAGTATTAAGAGATTATCAGATTTTAAAACATTATCGATTATTATGGGATTGTGCTGAAATTTTGGGGTCTCTATTCAAATCTATAATGCTTATTAAAATCCACATAATCTCTTTTATTAAAACTACCCCCTAACTCTAACCTAACTACAAAAAAAAAGACCACAAAAAAAAGACTAAAATCTTTACAATTTCATAATAAAATATGACAAATTTTCAGTATAATCCCATTACAATTATTAAATTTATATAACAGAAACAGACTTGGTAGATTTAACAGGTTATCAGTTTTGACGGGAGGTTCAACTATATAAATTATGTTTATTAACACCTTATTTATCATCTCAGACAATAATGTAATGTGCGTGCGAGGCATTGTCGAGTGGAAAAGGGTCATGGTTCAAGAGCTCGAAAGTGCCATTACCGAACAGAATTTAGTTTATTATAATTATTCTGAATTTACTGTTTTTGATAAAGTAAACGAAGGAAGTGTTGGAACTATTTACAAGGCAATGTGGGGCACCAAATTTATGGTTGCTCTTAAATGCCTTAAAATTGACATAAAATCTGAAGAAAAAGAATTTCAACAAAAAAAACTTCAACAATTCGTTAGAGAGCTTCAGCTTTTGCCCAAAGTCAGCCAGCATAAACATATTATTAAGTTTTATGGCGTTACCAAAGGTTTTTTTTTTTTTTAATACTAACTCTCTTTAGGTGCAAAGCGTGTAGACCAACATATTTAGTATATATAAAATCTAATAATTAATAGTTAAAATAACTAGCTCTTAAGACCCAGTCGGTGACCGGGTTCGAGTTTCTAATTTTTTGCTAATTCTTAGGCCTCAATGTTATTAACTCTTAGGCTTCTATAT